ACTATGTCATGGAAAGAGCACAATGTTTTGTTACTCCGTATACTTCCATAAAAATATTTAACTGGCACTGGGCTACATTCAGACGTGTCTTGTGAGGCTTGTGGGTGTCCTAGAGCAAAACGGACATTTATGTGTTCATGAGAAACCCACCTTTCCATAGAGTGGTCATATTAGTGTGTAGCCCGAACTGTTCAGACGCTACAGACAGATGTTGGCAAATCGGCGGTACCAACTTCAGACGAGTCCTGTGAGCTTGTGGGGGTCGTAGAGCAAAACCACCGACATGTACGTGTTCGTGAGATTCTCACATTTCCATAGAGGGGTCATACCGTAGGCCAAACCGTTCGGACGCTACAGATGTTTTTGTGAGAAGACAGATTTTCAGGATGTCTCATGGTCTGACAAACACCACTGTAGCTCTGTCACCTTTCACCGCAGATGTGGAAGGCCGATATCGGCGGATGTGGTGGATTGAGACGCAGCCCATTAAAAAAAAACGGATAGAGTTTAAGAGCGTTGGGCCAGTAACCGAAAGGTCGCCGATTCAAATCCCCGAGCTGGCAAGGTGGAAAAATCTGCCGTTCTGACCCTTGAGCAAGGCAGTTAACCCCCAACAACAACTGCTCCCCGGGCGCCGATGACTTGGACTTCGATTAAGGCAGCCCCCCGCACCTCTCTGATTCAGAGGGGTTGGGTTAAATAAGGAAGGCACATTTCGGTTGAATGCATTCAGTTGTACAACTGACTAGGTATCCCCTTTTCCCTTCTTTTCAGGAATAATATGCCACTCTGAAAAAAAGTGGCACTAACATATGTCCCATATTGCATCCAGTCCCATTTAGAGTGGACAGTCCTTTGCGCGTGTATAGCTAGGTTACTTTAAGTACAAATCATAAGTTACAATACACATCCCATAGCTTGATTTGCAGTGCGTATAAAAGCCTAACCACCATGATGCCCTGTAAATGAACATTCAAGAACAACTCTGACAGTGCAGATGGACAGTTCAAGGTTAATCATGTCTGGATTGTGGCATTGCCACAGTGCTTTATGGGTGCGATAATGCTAAAAACATTCATTAGCTGGTCTAACTCAAGTCTACTGAATGACATTCTTTAGTGTCCAAAACACATTAAAACAAACACACACCAAAATGAACTGGGGAAGAACTAGATATCCATGAGATTTGGGGAAAAGGAGGAACAGCAGCAGATCAAACCAGAAGTGTTCACTCAGCAGCAACTGGCTATCAGCAGTGCAAGTTAGCCATGTTCACCTGTGATAGCCTCTCTGACCAACTACGGAGCGGTAGTCGCCTGTCACGCCCATGTGACCTGCAAGGCAGACATCAGCACAGGTGACAGACTCTCCCTAATTTCCTCATAGACTGTCACACATCATTCAGACATCAACAGGCTCACAAAGCACCCTCTTTCCTACAGAGACCACTTCCAACCAGGCCTGCGTGTCACACAAAACTGAAACAAAAGATTACTATGTATAGGCCTATTCATACTGTTAATATTGAAACAATTTTGACGTGTAATGCTGTGATTAGAAACGGACCCGTTCTGTCTGTGTGCAGGTCCATGTTGTTGTTGTTCCACACCACCCTCATAGGTGGCACCACCATGGTTCTCACAGGGGGATTGCTTGGCTCCTTCTGGGGGGCCATGCCATTCGTCCTCATGCTCAGGGATTGATGGCTGTGGTTGCCTAGGTAGCGGCTCCCCAGGTAGGGGCTGTGGCTCCGGCTGGAGTCCGAGGCAGGGGAACAGTCCACCGTCTCGCAGCCGCTCTCATGACCATCATCCTCAGACATGCTGAAAACAGACAAAAGCAATCAATAACAGAACTAAATGTCCATGTTTGCTACTGATGATCAAGACTGTGGCCACTCAGGCAAGTTTTAAAAAATTGTTAACGTTTAAAGGTGCAGTTTGGCAGTACCTGTTGGGCCTCTTGCAGGGGGATGGGCTGGACTGCACCGAGGCAGAGGAGCTGGTGCTCAGAGTGCTGTCTGGGCTGCTGAGGGAACACACCCTCTCCATATTCAGAGAGCTCTTACACGCCTCGCAGTCAGGGCTGCCTTTGAACCTGCAGGAGGAACCCTCCTCCCCGTCCGTGTCACTGCTGATGCTGATGACGCTGAGGGTGGGGCTGGGCAGGTCGTGGATAACCACAGACTCTCGCTGCTGGTGGGACATGTCTATCCTCTCCTCCTCCACTGGCTTACAGCAGCTCACCTCCTCCTCATGTCTTCTTTCCTGCTCAACCTCAACCTCCACCATGGGCCTCTCCCCACGGGAACCATCTCCTCCTCCTGTGTGACTAACACGGTCGGCCATCTTTGGAGAGCGGCACATTGAGATTTGGACGTTCCCGTTGTTTTGGGAGTAGTACATGCTCCTAATACGAATTAGAGTAAAAGTAGTGAAGTTGTTAGTCAGTACATTTTAACACTGTTGTTTATGTAAGAACATGATCTGTGATTTGGTAGAACATTCACTTAAAGGGATACTTAAGGATTTTGGCAATGAGGCCCTTTATCTTCTTCCCCAGAGTCAAATGAACTCGTGGATATCGTTTTTATGTCTCTGCGTGTGGTTTGAAGGAACTTGCTAACTAGCGTTAGCAGATACCCATAGACTTACTCATTACGCTAACCCTAGTTAGCAACTACCTCCAACTTCCTTCATACTGGACACAGACATAAAAATGGTATCCACAAGTTCATCTGACTCTGGGGATGTACAGTGAGGGAAAAAAGTATTTGATCCCCTGCTGTTTTTGTACGTTTGCCCACTGACAAAGACATGATCAGTTTATACATTTTAATGGTAGGTTTATTTGAACAGTGAGAGACAGAATAACAACAACAAAATCCAGAAAAACACATGTCAAAAATGTTATCAATTGATTTGCATGTTAATGAGGGAAATAAGTATTTGACCCCACTGCAAAACATGACTTAGTACTTGGTGGCAAAACCCTTGTTGACAACCAGAGGTCAGACATTTCTTGTAGTTGGCCACCAGGTTTACACACATCTCAAGAGGGATTTTGTTCCACTCCTCTTTGCAGATCTTCTCCAAGTCATTAAGGTTTCGAGGCTGACGTTTGGCAACTCGAACCTTCAGCTCCCTCCACAGATTTTCTATGGGATTAAGGTCTGGAGACTGACTAGGCCACTCCAGGACCTTAATGTGCCTCTTCTTGAGCCACTCCTTTGTTGCCTTGGCCGTGTGTTTTGGGTCATTGTCATGCTGGAATACCCATCCACGACCCATTTTCAATGCCCTGGCTGAGGGAAGGAGGTTCTCACCCAAGATTTGACGGTACATGGCCCTGTCCATCGTCCCTTTGATGCGGTGAAGTTGTCCTGTCCCCTTAGCAGAAAAACACCTCCAAAGCATAATGTTTCCACCTCCATGTTTGACGGTGGGGATGGTGTTCTTGGGGTCATAGGCAGCATTCCTCCTCCTCCAAACACGGCGAGTTGAGTTGATGCCAAAGAGCTCGATTTTGGTCTCATCTGACCACAACACTTTCACCCAGTTCTCCTCTGAATCATTCAGATGTTCATTGGCAAACTTCAGACGGCCCTGTATATGTGCTTTCTTGAGCAGGGGGACCTTGCGGGCGCTGCAGGATTTCAGTCCTTCACGGCGTAGTGTGTTAACAATTGTTTTCTTGGTGACTATGGTCCCAGCTGCCTTGACATCATTGACAATATCCTCCTGTGTAGTTCTGGGCTGATTCCTCACTGTTCTCATGATCATTGCAACTCCACGAGGTGAGATCTTGCATGGAGCCCCAGGCCGAGGGAGATTGACAGTTATTTTGTGTTTCTTCCGTTTGCGAATAATCGCACCAACTGTTGTCACCTTCTCACCAAGCTGCTTGGCGATGGTCTTGTAGCCCATTCCAGCCTTGTGTAGGTCTACAATCTTGTCCCTGACATCCTTGGAGAGCTCTTCGGTCTTGGCCATGGTGGAGAGTTTGGAATCTGATTGATTGATTGCTTCTGTGGACAGGTGTCTTTTATACAGGTAACAAACTGAGATTAGGAGCACTCCCTTTAAGAGTGTGCTCCTAATCTCAGCTCGTTACCTGTATAAAAGACACCTGGGAGCCAGAAATCTTTCTGATTGAGAGGGGGTCAAATACTTATTTCTCTCATTAAAATGCAAATCAATTTATAACATTTTTGACATGCGTTTTTCTGGATTTTGTTGTTGTTATTCTGTCTCTCACTGTTCAAATAAACCTACCATTAACATTATAGACTGATCATTTCTTTGTCAGTGGGCAAACGTACAAAATCAGCAGGGGATCAAATACTTTTTTCCCTTACTGTAGATAAAGGGTCTCGTTGCCAAAATCCCAAAGTATTATCCCTTTGAAGCTGCAATATGTAACTTTTTGGGCAACCCGACCAAATTCACATAGAAATGTAAGCTATAGCTCCGTCATTCTCATTGAAAGCAAGTCTAAGAAGCGGTAGATCTGTTCCATGTGCGCTATTTCTATGCTTCCCGTTAAGTTTTGTTTTTGAGTCTTTTACTTTCGGTTTTGTACACCAGCTTCAAAACAGCTGAAAATACAATATTTTTGGTTATATATTTAACAGCGGTTTAGATGGCACAATGATTCTCTACACTATACTTGCTTATTTTGTCACAATCTGAAATTAGGCGAACTATTCACATTTTTGTAACCAGGAACTGACAGAGCGCTTTCTGCATTGTGCACCTTTAACTTCCAGGTGACAAATAAACTGATTAGATTTTGATTTGAGTAAAATCTATCATTTATCAAACCAGGCACAATGAATTTGGGTAAATTCAACAACAGCATTGATTTGCCATAGACCCTGTATGTGACTGGAGTGTGGAGGAGAAGCGTTGGGCTGACAGAGGGCATCTCACCGGTTCTGACTGGGCCGGTTCCTATTGTTGGCGTGCGGCTGTGGCCACACCACGTGTGCAATGCCAATGTTGATTGGTTGTGGACCGGGCATGGTCATTTGGTTGGTTAGAAGAGGCTGCATCATGTTGCTGTAATGGTTGCTGTGTTGCCTAACTTTCCTTTAAAAAGGCAAAACAACATGATATAAGTTTATCTCCACAATGTGAAGAAAGGGGCAAGTGAAGTACGTCTTAAAAAGGTAACTCCTCTGGTGAACTAACTCACCCCCAGTCACTGAGCCTCTGTGGGCCACCCACAGTATCAGAAGCCATAGTGGTGGGAGGGGGAGCCACTTGCTGCCAGGCTTGTACCAGGATCTGCTGGCCTCTACTTGACCACGGTTCCTGCAAAGGACAAAGACAGGAATCATTAGTGCACCATAAACCTTTAAGACTAGGTGAGGGAAACACCAAACCCCTGAAATAGCCTAACTTGAATTCTACTACCTCTGTGACCAGTGGGGAGACTAGCATCTGACTCCTGTATTGTATATAAGTGTCACTAATGTGAGCCAGTGTCTCACCTGTGCTATGACTCCAGGTCGCATCTGCAAAGGCTGTATGGGAGGGGCTTGGGTCACCATCGGTATCGTGTTCTCCATCCTAACTGTATATCCTGGCTGGTTTGGGTTACCTTCAAAACATAAGCATACTAGCATAAGATTTGAGCAAGAACAAATTCTTATTTACAATGACGGCCTACCAAAAGGCCTCCTGCGGGGACGGGGGATAAAAAAATAAAAATAATAATTAATAATAATATATATGTATACACTACCGTTCAAAAGTTTGGGGTCACTTAGAAATGTCCTTGTTTTCGAAAGAAAATCACTTTTTTTGTACATTAAAATAACATCAAATTGATCAGAAATACAGTATAGACATTGTTAATGTTGTAAATGGCTATTGTAGCTGGAAACGGCAGATTTTTTATGGAATATCTACATTGGCGTACAGAGGCCCATTATCAGCAACCATCAGTCCTGTGTTCCAATGGCATGTTGTGTTTGCTAATCCAAGTTGATTATTTTAAAAGGCTAATTGATCATTAGAAAGACCTTTTGCAATTATGTTAGCACAGCTGAAAACTGTTGTGCTGATTAAAGAAGTAATAAAACTGGCCTTCTTGAGACTAGTTGAGTATCTGGAGCATCATCAATTGTGGGTTCAATTACAGGCTCAAAATGGCCAGAAACAAATAACTTTCTTCTGAAACTCGTCAGTTTATTCTTGTTCTGCGAAATGAAGGCTATTCGATGCGAGAAATTGCCAAGAAACTGAAGATCTCGTACAATGCTGTTTACTACTCCCTTCACAGAACAACGCAAACTAGCTCTAACCAGAATAGAAAGAGGAGTGGGAGGCCCCGGTGCACAACTGAGCAAGACGACAAATACATTAGTGTCTAGTTTGAGAAACAGACGACTCACAGGTCCTCAACTGGCAGCATTATTAAACCGTACCCGCAAAACACCAGTCTCAACGTCAACAGTGAAGAGGCGACTCCGGGATGCTGATCTTCTAGGCAGAGTTGCAAAGAAAAAGCCACATCTCAGACTGTCCAATTAAAAGAAAATATTAAGATGGGCAGTCTGAGATACGGCTTTATCTTTGCAACTCTGCCTAGAAGGTCAGCATCCCGGAGTCGCCTCTTCACTGTTGACGTTGAGACTGGTGTTTTGCGGGTACTATTTAATGAAGCTGCCGCATGGAATAGCCTTCATTTCTCAGAACAAGAATAGACTGACGAGTTTCAGAAGAAAGTTATTTGTTTCTGGCCAGTTTGAGCCTGTAATCGAACCCACAATTGGTGATGCTCCAGATACTCAACTAGTCTCAAGAAGGCCAGTTTTATTGCTTCTTTAATCAGCACAACAGTTTTCAGCTGTGCTAACATAATTGCAAAAGGGCTTTCTAATGATCAATTAGCCTTTTAAAATGATCAACTTGGATTAGCGAACACAACGTGCCATTGGAACACAGGACTGATGGTTGCTGATAATGGGCCTCTGTACGCCTATGTAGATATTCCATAAAAAAATCAGCCGTTTCCAGCTACAATAGCCATTTACAACATTAACAATGTCTACACTATATTTCTGATCAATTGGATGTTATTTTAATGGACAAAAAAAATGCTTTTCTTTCTTTCTAAGTGACCCCAAACTTTTGAACGGTAGTATATATAAACACACATCACAACAAGAGAGACAACACAACATAAAAGAGAGTCCTAAGACAACATAGCATGGCATCAACACATGAAAACACAGCAAGGTAGCAACCCAACATGAAAACAACATGGTAGCAACACAACATGGCAGCATCACAACATGGTAGCAGCACAAGACATGGTACAAACATTGACTTTGTATCTTTCATGAAATGACTTGACTATGTGCTAATTTGAAAAGCTCTTTACCTTGCATGGCTGGGGGGCAGAGGATGAGGGCTGGCTGAAAGGAGTCATTACACCCAAACTGACTGTTTCCTGTCTGCAGCATCCCAGGATGCATCACAGAGGGAGCGGATTGCGTCAAAGCCTGCATTGAGGTGGGAGAGGTTTTTTTCATTATGATAAAACATTTCTGACCAACTTTTTATTAAGTTTTGTCATTTTTCTTTTTCAGAGGGGGGATACAGGTACAAAAACAATCAAATAAATGCATACAAAGATAACCCCAACCCATTCCCAATTGAGACATGGATTGTGTATGTGTGCCATGCAGAGGGTGAATGAGTAAGACAACAAAATTAAGTGCCTTTGAATGGGTATTGTAGTAGGTGCCAGGCGCACCAGTTTGTGTCAAGAACTGCAACGTGACTGGGTTTTTCACGCTCAACAGTTTCCTGTGTGTATCAATGGTCCACCACCCAAAGGACATCCAGCCAACTTGACCCAACTGCAGGAAGCATTGGAGTCAACATGGGCCAGCATCCCTGTGGAACGCTTTCAACACCTTATAGAGCATGCCCCAACAAATTGAGGCTGTTCTGAGGGCAAAAGGGGGTGGGTGCAACTCAATATTAGGAAGGTGTTCCTAATGTTGTGTATGCTCAGTGTATATGGAAGTAGTTTAGTGGCTAAAAAAATAGGGGTTAAATATGTGTCCAAAAAAAATCTATAATTTCCTGATCTTTCTTATAGCTCTCAGATATAGGACAGACACTTCAAAACAAACTTCCTTTTGGTGAATTTTTTCACCATCTGTTTTTCCATGTTATTCAATGCGTTTCTATGGGCTAATAGCAGTACGGCCAAAGTCAATGTTCCATTAAATATTTTTTTAATACCTAAAGGGGTCCAAAAACTCAAAATCAAATAGCTAAATGAATCTTGGGATGACCATGTAAAAACAGATTTGTTGATTTGAGCATTGTGTTAAAGTTTCTGGCAATGGTTTTATCTAAAGACGGAAATATATTTACATCCAAATATTTAAAATGGGAAACGATTGGGATTCCATAAGTAGAGATGGAGTCCTCCATTGGAGTCGTGAGCCAGTATAATGAGATGAAGTGATCAGTAGATTTGAGAGAAATGTGTATTATTTCCTTCGATTGACAAATTGCCTGGGCCAGAGAATAGCAGAGGCAAAATTGGATTGCCTTGTCTGCTGCTTCTAGTGATTCTGAACAGAGCAGAGCAGATATTGCCTGTTATAACTACAGCTGAGGAATTGGCATATAGTATTTTGATCATTTTCATGAAATTGGAGCCAATTCCCATATGTTCCAAGACAGACCAGAGATATGACCATTCTTGCCTTTTCCTGCATGGAGAGATAATACAGCCCATGGAGCTGTTGTTTCTCATGAAGCATATAAGATCTGTAATATTCCACAGAGGTTATCAGAGCATAAAGGCTTTAACAAATCTGCTTTGTTCCATGTGGATCAATTTGGGTAAGTCTCGAGACTACAACATTTTGGAACAGAGTTTAATATCTGCTTTTATCAAAGACGGGGCGATAATGAGAACACTGGGTGGCATCCTTAAAATGCTTGAATAAAAGCGAAATTGCTGTGTTCGCATCTCTCCCAAAATAACCATTGTGAACGGTGTACAGTTCTTTATAGAAGCAGGAGAATCTTTGATTAATTTGGGTTCTGATAGTAATTCCCGTTTCAGATTCAATAGTTGCTATATCAGTCAATTGATCATTACTGCCAGTAAACGACTGGGACGATTACCATGGAAGTAATGGTTGAGTTTTACTCGATGGATGGCAAAATCTGCTCTCTATCTTATCAATAAATTAAGCTATGTTTTGACTTTGGAAAGCGTAATAGCTACCTGGTCTGAAATAGTGTTTGTTGAGAGCGCTCTAACACATTTCCAATTCTGATATCTTCTCTAAATCGTGATTTATTCAACCCAGATGCAAATGCAGTTGAATTATTTTTTATAAAACCTTTGGTGGCATCCCACAGAATCCGGGGGTCATCGACTGAATTTTTGTGCCTCTTTTAGGAGATTCTGACATTTTAAGTTGGCAGTAGTAAGTTTGGTGGTTAGACTCATATGTCGAATTTAAATGTTCTTGATTAAAGAAAATAGAGGTGTAGATAATAGTATGAAATCGATTAGTGAGAATGATTTATGCCTGTTTGAGTATAAAGTGTACTCTTTTGCTTTGGGATTATGTGCTCGCGAGGCATCAACGAGGTTGTAATCACAGAGTATATGCTGGAGAGCCTTGGTTGCGTGTGGATTGTAGTTGGTCTTATTAGATTTGTCCCGCATGTCCAAAATGGCATTCATGTCTTTCCCAATAACCAGATGGAATTCAGTTCATTCTAACAATATGCTGTTCAGAGAATCAAAAAACATAGGATCATGGGCTCCCGAGTGGCGCAGTAGTCTAAACACTGCATCTCAGTGCTTGAGGCGTCACTACAGACCCCCTGGTTAGATTCCAGGCTGTATCACAACCGGCCGTGATTGGGAGTCCCATAGGGCGGCGCACAATTGGCCCAGCGTCGTCCGGGTTTGGCCGGTGTAGGCCGTCATTGTAAATAAGAATTTGTTCTTAACTGACTTGCCTAGTTAAATAAAGGTAAAATAAAAAAATATATGAATTTGGAGTATACACATGAATACAGGCCATTTTTCTTTCCATTATGGATACATTTAAGGTAAGTGATTCTGCCTTCTTGGTCGTCGCCATTACTCAATATGGTAATTGCGTTTCTAATGTATCATTATGATTACACCTTTAGTTTTGTTTGGGGCTGATGAAAAAGCAGCCAGTTTGTAGAAATGGTTCTCTATTCTATGTGTGTCCTTTTGGAGCAGGTGTGTTTCTTGGCGCATTGCTATATCAATATGGTTTCTTGCCAGGATATCAAGACAGCTGAAACATTTTATAGGTGAGTTTAGGCCTTTCAAATAACATGAGAATAGCTAGCGTTGCCATTGTTTTTCATCACTTACTTCAGAGACTGAAATGAGAGGTAGCAGTGCCTTTCAAATCTAAGTAAATATTATGCAATAGCCTTAATATTCCTGTAGGTGGAAACATTGGTCCAATAAGAAGTCTATGTACCCCAGCCATAAATGTAACATCAGATTTCCAGTGTTCATTAATTCAGACAATATATATCTGGCTTCTTGTGATTGTGCTTAATAGATTACCTGAGAGTGAACCGATCCCATCTTACTGAAGGCCATTGGCAGTCCAGCGGATTTGGTTGAGGGTCTGGGGAACGGGGCTTTGTTGCGGTTGAGTGTGTCGTACGCGTTGGGCCGTGATTGACAGGCGTCCATGATGTGGAAACATGATTGAACACTAAAGAGACGAAAGGGAGGAGATGAAGACTCAAGCAGAGGGATGGAACATTATGGCCTACTTCCTAGATCTGTGTCCATCTGTAATCATAGTTTGTAGCTCACCATTTCTTTGTAGTGCATGGAAGAGCTTTTGTTGGTTTGTTGTTTAGCCATAGGTTAGACTTACTGATTGTTGTGGGGGAAGTCGAGGAGGTGCTGCATGGTGACAAAGGGATGGTTGAGGGCATCGGAGGGAGAAATCCTCTTCTCAGCATCAATTAGCAACATGGTCTTCAGCAGGCCCACAAACTCCCTCCGGTCGGCCTTCTCCGCCAACGAGTCACTGCCCTCCATGTTCAGCACCAGATTCACCTGAGGAGGCAGAACGAAATCAACATCTTTAGCTACTCTATTAAAATCCACTGGTGTTCACTGGTCACACTACTGTGTCATATGATCGTTTAAGAATCATCATTTACTTGAATGCAATTTTGTACTTTGCTTAAATGTGTCACATTGTTCAAAGTTCTGTACTCACATGTGCTATGTCATCCAGACTGCTAAAGATGTACTTCCTAGCCTCTTTGGATTTCATCCCAGTCTCAGTTTCATGTTCCTCTGTCAGCTACAGAAATGGGAGAGTCTTCAAAATATGGACATGCATTCTCTAGAATTCTGCCTAGCGTACTCAGAACTGGGTGTACTTATGGTATATGATGTCCATGTTCAGTAGTCACATGGTGTCAGCGCGCGTTACCTTCAGTCTCCAGGGAGCATAAGGCGAGTCAGACTCTTTGCAGAAGAAGCGGGAAGTCTTGGTCCCCACGTTCAGCAGTTGCTCCCCCGGCAACCCTTGTGTCTGAGATATGTAGCGAATCTATGGAGGAGGAGAGACAAAGAGGAAGAAAATATTATGATTACTGCATTTACATAATTATCCTGCTTGTCAGACCTACTCCTATACATTTACAAAGGAATCACCAACATTAAGAGCCATTTCCATTATCCTTTTCACACATAACAACAAACGGGTGTGATCATTCTACAGTGGTCCCTGCAGCGTACGATCAAACCGGTTTGCTTAGAACGCTCATTTAGAACGTCCAGTTTCGATTGACACAACAGTCAGCATTTGAGCTAGCCACACTTTTTTTTCATATACATATTTCACACAAACACAGTCCTTACAAAGTTATGTCCTGAATGTGACCAGTTTATTTTTGAATGCAATGTTCAGACATTCACAGAAGCAGCGACAGCATACACAACCATCCAAATCGGAAAATGTAGGCTACATTAGTCCTAGCGCTAATTTAGGAAAGATAGACATAACACAAGAGGTCATATTTAGAGAACTCTCGGCTGACAGAAACCACAATATGAATTAGCTAATAGCAATTACTATTTACAATTCATCACATCACGGGTGAACTCACCATTGATCAAAATAATTGAGTAAAACACGTTCTAGTAATCTGAAGTAATCCGACGATGGGTAGTTTGCGCACACCACCATGTTTGTTTTTTCGCTTCAACCAATGATAACAGGAGACAAGATGAGTTTGGTCTGTTTGCAGTATTCATGTTGAAGGGGGTGTGTCATCTAGGATCATTCACTTCCCTTCATTCACTTCTGGAAGTTTGCTCAAAAGATGAGAACCATTCCTTCACCTCAGTATAACATCTTTGGTCTGACAGATGTTTACGTGACACCCAGAATGCATTGTATAATGTCAACAAACATGGCGCCACACATCGCTTAGCATTCGTTTATTATAAATCAGTACAACCTTCAAAAAAGTATTTTACATCATAGGTGTCACAATCTATGTAATAATCGGAATGCATTAACTGTCACCAGTACTTGAAAACGTGAAAAAAACTGTAAATGCCAGCCAGAAAATGTGCCTGTTCGTGCAAGACTGCGCAAATGTCTGCAAACTTGATCTGCGGAAACACTAGGGAAGTGCTTAAGCTCTCCTCAAAGAGAGAAGTTTATCCGGCTCAGTAAAGCCTCAAACATACACTGAAATGGGCTACTTCTAATTTATATGAATGAGGCAGAACACACCTCAATTCAAACTGTTGTTAGAAAATACACTGCTCAAAAAAATAAAGGGAACACTAAAATAACACATCCTAGATCTGAATGAATGAAATAATCTTATTAGATACTTTTTTCTTTACATAGTTGAATGTGCTGACAACAAAATCACACAAAAATTATCAATGGAAATCAAATGTATCAACCCATGGAGGTCTGGATTTGGAGTCACCCTCAAAATTAAAGTGGAAAACCACATTACAGGCTGATCCAACTTTGATGTAATGTCCTTAAAACAAGTCAAAATGAGGCTCAGTAGTGTGTGTGGCCTCCACGTGCCTGTATGACCTCCCTACAACACCTGGGCATGCTCCTGATGAGGTGGCGGATGGTCTCCTGAGGGATCTCCTCCCAGACCTGGACTAAAGCATCCGCCAACTCCTGGACAGTCTGTGGTGCAACGTGGCGTTGGTGGATGGAGCGAGACATGATGTCCCAGATGTGCTCAATTGGATTCAGGTCTGGGGAACGGGCGGGCCAGTCCATAGCATCAATGCCTTCCTCTTGCAGGAACTGCTGACACACTCCAGCCACATGAGGTCTAGCATTGTCTTGCATTAGGAGGAACCCAGGGCCAACCGCACCAGCATATGGTCTCACAAGGGGTCTGAGGATCTCATCTCGGTACCTAATGGCAGTCAGGCTACCTCTGGCGAGCACATGGAGGGCTGTGCGGCCCCCCAAAGAAATGCCACCCCACACCATGACTGACCCACCGCCAAACCGGTCATGCTGGAGGATGTTGCAGGCAGCAGAACGTTCTCCACGGCGTCTCCAGACTCTGTCACATGTGCTCAGTGTGAACCTGCTTTCATCTGTGAAGAGCACAGGGCGAATTTGCCAATTTTGGTGTTCTCTGGCAAATGCCAAACGTCCTGCACGGTGTTGGGCTGTAAGCACAACCCCCACCTGTGGACGTCGGGCCCTCATACCACCCTCATGGAGTCTGTTTCTGACCGTTTGAGCAGACACATGCACATTTGTGGCCTGCTGGAGGTCATTTTGCAGGGCTCTGGCAGTGCTCCTCCTGCGCCTCCTTGCACAAAGGCGGAGGTAGCAGTCCTGCTGCTGGGTTGTTGCCCTCCTACGGCCTCCTCCACGTCTCCTGATGTACTGGCCTGTCTCCTGGTAGCGCCTCCATGCTCTGGACACTACGCTGACAGACACAGCAAACCTTCTTGCCACAGCTCGCATTGATGTGCCATCCTGGATGAGCTGCACTACCTGAGCCACTTGTGTGGGTTGTAGACTCCGTCTCATGCTACCACTGGAGTGAAAGCACCGCCAGCATTCAAAAGTGACAAAAACATCAGCCAGGAAGCATAGGAACTGAGAAGTGGTCTGTGGTCACCACCTGCAAAACCAGTCCTTTATTGGGGGTGTCTTGCTAATTGCCTATAATTTCCACCGGTTGTCTATTCCATTTGCACAACAGCATGTGAAATTTATTGTCAATCAGTGTTGCTTCCTTAGTGGACAGAAGTGTGATTGACTTGGAGTTACATTGTGTTGTTTAAGTGTTCCCTTAATTTTTTTGAGCAGTGTAATTAGAAATGGACAAGTTGAAACATAGTCTATAGATAACTGTCCTGTTGCGTAACAATCACATTTTGTAACAGTAAGTATATTCTGACATCACGTGCATAAAACAAATCACGCTGGGGTGACTGTTAGAAAGATATTTGTAACTCATGTGAAAAGGTTAAGTAGCTTGTTTCAGAGGAGCACTGAGCATTCCGATCATCAGCCCAGAGCATTCCGATCATCAGTGGTCCTCTGTAGCTCAGCTGGTAGAGCACGGCGCTTGTAACGCCAAGGTAGTGGGTTCGATCCCCGGGACCACCCATACACAAAAAAATGTATGCACGCACGACTAAGTCGCTTTGGATAAAAGCGTCTGCTAAATGGCATATTATTATTATTATTATCAGCCCAGAGCATTCTGACCATCAGCCCAGAGCATTCTGACCATCAGCCCAGAGCATTCTGATCATCAGCCAGGGATCTGTGTATCATAGCGCTACACAGACACTCATCAAGACAAACTAGACAATGAAAGTACAAAAGTATTTTAAATGCAGGATGTAAATAGAACTGACCACTGCACTGCTGTTGATGGAAGACTGGACCTCCAAGTGAGGTTTTTGTGACATGGCGGTGTCCCAGCCCTCCCAAACATCCCCAAGGACAAAGACACTTAAGCCCAACCAGAGTGTTTCTCTGCCTCTAGCAATCCAAGCTAATCAAAAGGTTACTTGCAGATCTTCCAAATGGACAGGTCAAAATGGGCTAAGTAAATAGACAAATACAATCCCAGTACAAATATAGGCTATTCTTCTGTTATAGCACTCCTCCTCATCACTTGCTACTTTGCTAGGTCAAATCAAAAGTTTATGGTCGCGTACACAGATTTGCAGATGTTATCGCAGGTGCAGCGAAATGCTTGTGTTTCTAGCTCCAACAGTGCAGCAATACCTAGCAATACACATAATAAAAAAACAACACAAAAATAAGTTATATAGGATGAGCCATGACTAGAATACAGTATACATATAAAGTGGGTGAAACAGTAAACATTATTAAAGTGAACAGTGTTCAATGACTACGTACATAGGTGGGGGGGATTGCCTGTTTTGCATGTTATTTTGGCATTAATACGCATCACATTTTCTTGATTAAGGCAGCTCCAAAATGCAGGTTTTTCAGCTTAGCTCAGTGCTTTCTGTGGTGATGGGGCAAGCCAGCAGAAAATGGGAGCATTGCGCCGTGATTGGCTCAGTGTTGTGTCACTCATGGGGACACTACCGCCAAGTCTAAGTCCTTAGTAAGGGTAGACATCCAAAATGTAAGCCCTTTGGGTCCTGCCATAGAGTTACATTAGAAGTGCCCTTCCAAGAAGGCTCATGGTCATTGGCCACAGATAAAATGACGTCAAATCATGTTATATCTACAGTAGCTTTAATTGGACTGATCATGTCAACATCTTACTTTCAAAATCTTAGCTAGCAGTCATCATCATGAATCAAGTCGACAATCTACTGGCAAATCCTGTTTAATCCTTGTCATATGAAGATAATGAAGAGAAATTATAGATAAAACGTATCAGTGCTCATCAGCCATTGGACATAAACATTACACAAGTTGGAAATCGCAAACTCAACAATGAGTGGTTTGGAAGGAATGAGTGGCTAACTGCAAGCGTTGCAAAGTGATCACTAGCCTGCTATAGGCGATATGCACAGGCGAGCATGACGTATCTCTGGTTAAATCTCAGGATGGATGTAAACTTCCGGTTATCGTAGAATGCTGTGCTACCGTATGCTAGCATTGAATGCTTGTCGTCAAAAACATCAGAAACTGTTAATTTTCGTCGTTGTTGTTGTTTATCTTAATGTTTATGTTAATGTTTTTACTTGTAATACTTTGTCTTGACTTATAACACGATGACTTTTAAACGTACGAAAGTGTCCTTTCAAAAACAGGATGACAGCTCTTCCAGCCATCACTGCTGTGTGCCGCAATGTACAGTGTCTGCCAGATGCAATTCTTCTGTTAGTTTTTTTTACATTTCCCAAAGACAGTGAATTACATAAACGGTGGGTGATTAACATTCCACGAGTCAACTTTCTTACAACAAACACACGAGTCTGCAGCCGACACTTTCTAAGTGAAGATGTGATAGAGCCTCCGACTCCAGCTGGGCGCAGACGTCTGAAGAAGGGAGCTGTTCCAGTGCTGTTTCAATGGAACAATTTCAGTCTTCCAGCCCCACGGCCCGGAGTTTGGGAAAGGACCGAGCGTCCCAACACAGAAACCATGAATGATCCGTCTGTGGAATTGGACTGTCCTCCTGACCATGACTAATGCAACAGTACTGAACCTGCTGCACTGGATATGTCACTTGACCACAATGAAGAACTTAGTGTAGAGATAGCAAGGCTCCGAAATCAAATTGAGGAGATAACTATCAGCAGCAAATTCTGCTTGGAGCGGTTTGCTGGATCTGATGATGACATAAGGTTTTTCACAAGGTAAATTAAAATGTCCAATGTGTTTAATATATAGGCCTATGTATTTGAGCTGTCAACAATGACTAGTATTATTATCTGTTTAAATGTTGCATGTGTGTTGTAAGCTACTGGAAACCTTGAATTTCCCTCGGGATGAGTAAAGTATCTATCTAAAACTATCTACTAGCGCATTAATTGTATTTTAATTTTGTAGCCTAGTACCAATAACAACAGTAGAGTGAAGGTTTTGCTCCTAATTCCTCTTGAAAAGTAGAAACATCAAGTACAAAAGCAAGGAAGTTGGGCCTTATGTTTATAAAGAAAGAAGTAAAGATGACAGGACAGTTTTGAGTAGAACATCAGCCGTATGAAGAACAGCTGAGTGGAATATGTTACTGTCATTGCAGTCATCAAGTCAGGAAAAAGTAGTAATCTCATTTTTGTTTACATTTCAAACCAAACTCCAATTTGTTTACAACAGACCCAACAACAAAGCATGGCAATTTCCACTCAGCTACCCTGGTCTGTATTAGGCTACCACTGTTCAGCTACCGTGAAAACCACTAAAGTTCTAAAGTGTTCTCTTAGCAATGGCAATCAAAGCTGTGGTAACATTAAACGAGTAAAACATGTGTTGAACGGAACCTTGAACAAGTTCAACAGAACTTTGAACGTGTCACTTAATCTAGTCCTACTCTCAGCTGGTGTGGTGGCTTTAGTTTCTTAATTGAGCGGTAGCAGTGGGCTCTCACAGAGATCTAATTTGTAGCCCTGTTTTTACCTGATACTTTCATAAAAGTACAAACACATGAAGTGAGAGGTATATACACATGATTAAACTTTATTTAAAGCATGATTAACCTGAAGCAGGACGGAGTCATGACTTAAAACACCAAAGCAAGGCTTCTAGCTCAGGCTAGTTAGCGTTAGCATATTACCGTCAAAGTTGCAAAGAAAAGAAGAAACGTAAAATTTGAAGCCTTTATCCAGTTTGCTACGTGGTGTCGTACTGGGACGACCCTCCGTATATCATTAACAGATACTTTAGGCAACTCCAGCAAACACCTTGTAAACTTCATCTCTGCCATCATAACGGTCTACTGTCACTGTCTAATGTTTTTTTCCGGTAACCGGAAATGCCCAAGCATCCTTACGCCAATGCGGAAGTGATGCGTGCATAGAGCCTATTCAGTGGAGTGGCTGTGTGGTTTTTTTCCTCCAGAGTTCCCACCATAAATCCAGAGAATGCAGACTGATGACAAAATTTGCCCACAAAAGGACCGCCACCTTCCTGTTCAAGTGAGCACAGCACAACAAGGTGAGTCCAAACATTTCTTGTATGCTGCTGCATAAATTATGTAATATTCAAGGGAGATACAGTGGGGAAAAAAAGTATTTAGTCAGCCACCAATTGTGCAAGTTCTCCCACTTAAAAATATGAGAGAGGCCTGTAATTTACACGTCAACTATGACAGGCAAATTGAGAGAAAAAAATCCAGAAAATCACATTGTAGGATTTTTAATGAATTTATTTGCAAATTATGGTGGAAAATAAGTATTTGGTCACCTACAAACAAGCAAGATTTCTGGCTCTCACAGACCTGTAACTTCTTCTTTAAGAGGCTCCTCTGTCCTCCACTCGTTACCTGTATTAATGGCACCTGTTTGAACTTGTTATCAGTATAAAAGACACCTGTCCACAACCTCAAACAGTCACACTCCAAACTCCACTATGGCCAAGACCAAAGAGCTGTCAAAAAACACCAGAAACAAAATTGTAGACCTGCACCAGGCTGGGAAGACTGAATCTGCAATAGGTAAGCAGCTTGGTTTGAAGAAATCAACTGTGGGAGCAATTATTAGGAAATGGAAGACATACAAGACCACTGATAATCTCCCTCGATCTGGGGCTCCACGCAAGATCTCACCCCGTGGGGTCAAAATGATCACAAGAACGGTGAGCAAAAATCCCAGAACCACACGGGGGGACCTAGTGAATGACCTGCAGAGAGCTGGGACCAAAGTAACAAAGCCTACCATCAGTAACACACTACGCCGCCAGGGACTCAAATCGTGCAGTGCCAGACGTGTCCCCCTGCTTAAGCCAGTACATGTCCAGGCCCGTCTGAAGTTTGCTAGAGTGCATTTGGATGATCCAGAAGAGGATTGGGAGAATGTCATATGGTCAGATGAAACCAAAATAGAACTTTTTGGTAAAAACTCAACTCGTCGTGTTTGGAGGACAAAGAATGCTGAGTTGCATCCAAAGAACACCATACCTACTGTGAAGCATGGGGGTGGAAACATCATGCTTTGGGGCTGTTTTTCTGCAAAGGGACCAGGACGACTGATCCGTGTAAAGGAAAGAATGAATGGGGCCATGTATCGTGAGATTTTGAGTGAAAACCTCCTTCCATCAGCAAGGGCATTGAAGATTAAATGTGGCTGGGTCTTTCAGCATGACAATGATCCCAAACACACTGCCCGGGCAACGAAGGAGTGGCTTCGTAAGAAGCATTTCAAGGTCCTGGAGTGGCCTAGCCAGTCTCCAGATCTCAACCCCATTGAAAATCTTTGGAGGGAGTTAAAAGTCTGTGTTGCCCAGCGACAGCCCCAAAACATCACTGCTCTAGAGGAGATCTGCATGGAGGAATGGGCCAAAATACCAGCAACAGTGTGTGAAAACCTTGTGAAGACTTACAGAAAACGTTTGACCTGTGTCATTGCCAACAAAGGGTATATAACAAAGTATTGAGAAACTTTTGTTATTGACCAAATACTTATTTTCCACCATCATTTGCAAATAAAATCATTAAAAATCCTACAATGTGATTTTCTGGATTTTTTTTTCTCATTTTGTCTGTCATAGTTGATGTGTACCTATGATGAAAATTACAGGCCTCTCTCATCTTTTTAAGTGGGAGAACTTGCACAATTGGTGGCTGACTAAATACTTTTTTCCCCCACTGTATGTATACTGTAGCTAAGAAAGTAATACTAAGTGTATGTTGTGTAGTAAGCTGTTAGTAGCCCATGTGCCTCACCCTAATAATTTGGTCTATTTTCACCAACGCGGTATTGTAAACACATCGTTCATGGCCAGTGTGTGCTTGTTTGCAGACATTTTCTTGTACAGCTTTGAC